GAAAGTGTTGGCATGGCTCTATTTAATAATTCTTTTTTGAAAATGCAGCATGCACTTCTTTCCGATGCGGCAATTCCCAAGCTATAGACGGCTAACCAGACACATATCAGGCCCAATAGTCGAACAACTCCGAACTAAAAAATGACATCTGCTCCAAGCCTTTTGAGCTGTCCGCGAAACAGCATTGTCCGGAATTACAGCGAACAATACCCGTTCAATCCATGCCCAATACGGTGCTCAGGTAAAAATTCACAAAGACGGGGGTGAGATTTGACTTTTTTAGGGTAAAGGGAATCGGTTACAAATGTTTAAAAAGGGGTCGGTCCTGCCAAAAGAATTGCTCCAAGCTGAACATGATTGTTTTCTTAGTCATGCTGTACTTTACCGTTCATTCCGTACCTTTCCATCCCCCCGTAAGTTTCCTTTTAACGCTACAATAATTTAGTAAAATTTTGACCTAAGCAATGTCTAAGCGGGGGACGAATACTACCTGCCAGTGATTTTATTATAACAGTCCACCCCTGTTGTAGTAGCATTGCTGTACAACGCTGAGATGCTTGTAAAACAGCACGCGCAGGAGCGAAATCCAAGAATGCACAAAAAACAAAAAAGCCAATAAATCTGATCCGGAAGTCTTTTTGTTCACCCGCCATACACGTATTTGTCATTTCATGCCTGTCGTGTGTCTCATGGAGCGACGTTCCCAAGCGTAAAATGAGGGATAGGAACATAATGATCAAACAAGAACGCCCGCTCATAAAACTTCACCGGGTTTTTTGGGAGGCCTGACGAAAAACGGTGGGTCTCGCTTTCGTTCATATTAGTCTTCATGCATATCCGATTTGTTGCCTTATCAGAACCATGTCCAATAACGCCAGCGGGAAAAGGGTTACAGTATGCTTTGCAGTAAAAAATAAGTGTGACACTGAGTGATGTCCTCATGTACCAGCACTGACAGTGCAGACATTATTTCTGTCATTTCCGTGGCACGATGTTTCTTTATGCTGCCCGCACATCTTGGTGTGGGCGGGGAGGGGAGAGGCAAGCTCAGAGGACCATTGTGGGTGGAGGGACTCTACTCAGTTTTGAGGGTCCAGGCCTCCTCAAAGTCGATGAAGTGACGCCCTCAGGCCGGCGTCACAGGAGCGCAGTTTCACAAAGTGTGTGCTTGCGGGAAGGCGAATAGAGAAGAATGGCTTAACCTGCCCCCACCAGAAAATATGGACTTCTCCGCGACTTTTGCCCACTTTCTTCTCAAAATTGGGGCAGGAGCTGGAACCTCACCAGCAAATTTGGAAACTAATTTGCTGGTGAAATTAAAAATAAAAATTCAAACGATCCGCTATTCAATAGTCTTCTGCTGTGCAAAATTTGGCGCGGCTTCGCACCGCCGTTCAGAAACCACTCCGGAAAAACCTCGGGGTCAATCTGACCCCCCCCCCGCCCCGAGTACGTGTTAACCATCTGCTTCTTAGCGGGGAGTTTTCGCTTCCGTATAACAGCTTGCCGATATCAAGCATAATTCAGTTGCCCTCTCAAGATATATTAGGTTACCCACCCGGTCAAGCTGCAGCGTGGACCCAATTGCCTGTGAGAATGTTCCACATTTGGAGATATTGAGGCAAACATCAGATATGATGAAATAAGCTCACTTACAAGGCATAACTATTTGATACATTCAAGTGAAGACACTGTTCTGGCCAATGCAATTTTGTGTTCAGTAAATATGCTCATCAACGCGTCGTTCGTGTTGGAACGTTTGTATGACGTTAAGGTGCTGCCAAACTGGCCGTGCAAAATTTGCCATCTTAGCACTCACTTATAGCACTTCAGTCTCCCGAGAAGTGGCCGCGGCAGTGCTGGAAGTGTTTGTGGAACCAAATATTGGTATGTGTTCGTGTTTTAGCCATTTCTCTCGGTGCTCTTGCATAATTATCCGTGAGTTCGAGGTGTTGGCTTGTATTCACGTGCTCGGTTGTGGCGCTTTTCTCAAGTTGCCCGATTGCAAGCTTTATCTCTGCAATAACTAGCACCCATGTCCGACGTATTGCATTATTTAACACAAACCGCGATCATAACCAAATCTTGCACAGGCTGCGCAACATTGATTGAGCGTCGATTGACGTTCATTATGTTTCTAAGCCGTGCTCATGAGCACTAGATATGAACAACTGGGCGGTTATGTTATTTTTTGGCCTTAAACGCCACACGACCAATGGAGTGTCAGGGTTTGAATTATTTTCTATGACGTTATGCACGCCTGAATAACCTTGAAATGGTCTGCACGAAATAGTCTGCACATCTTCGTGGGCGTTCAGCTCAGAAACTAGAGGGTGTCAGATCTTAAGGAGAGCAGGACTTTGAACTGCGTCGAATGATCTTCAAGGCGGTCATTTTAGCTTAAAGCTCCATATAAATGTGGCACAATCTCTCTTAGGGCGCTTGGGCCTCTGGGCCAGACCTCTCGCTCACACCGGGTGTCAAGTCTCTAAGGTAGATTCTCCGCATGATTACTGACGCTGCCGACGTCCCTTTGATGCTTCGTGAACTACAAAAAATGAGTGAATGGATATCGAGCTATGTGAGTTAGTTATTGAGCGTTCGCCAGTTGCTGTTTGCGAAGCGTTGCACGCCAATGTGCTTGACGGCTGTTATCGTGGAGACATCGTGTTGGAAAAAGGTTTCTGAACAGGCCTGTCGGATTCCCTTATTTGAATTTGATGTTCAACAACATATATGAGCATGCTGCAATTGCAATATTGCAGAGACTGCAGGAGAAACTCATGACCGGCATAATTATTTAGCCATTCATACCAAGCTAGAGCTGCACGTCGCGGATCCTCAAAATAAATGGTAAATGCGTTACTAAGAGCTTTTTGCGCCACTTTTCTTGCAATAATTATGCAGTATGTGGCGATATGCAACACGCAATGACATGAGGCTTCCTTTGGTGACAAGCGTGCAGTCACCTCTATACCCGATCCGAATTCGGTCGAGACGTTTTTGCTGTTTGTATATATATATATATATATATATATATATATATATATATATGTATATATTACACACTTATTATATATATATATATGTATATATAATATATTTTGGTAGCGTGTTGCGGCTCTTCCAGGCAACGTGTTGTCGTAATCTTGACGCTTTAATCGCTGAGGATGCCTTCCTTGACATAATCGTCTGTGAACGGAAGACTGAGGCATGTGGCATCCATAATTTTGTGTCGTGGGTGTGTCGATGTCTTCACTGGGGGTCTCGAGCATGATTTGGCTAGATATCTACTCTTTTGCATCATCCTATGTGGATATCCCTTTGATTCGAATAGATGTTCTATTTTTGCCCATCCCCGGATGGCAGCTGCTCCGTCGGACGCAAGGCACTGCTTCCTCAACAGCTGTGTGTGAAGTACCCCTTTTGGTTTTCACTGAGTTGGCTGCTGTGAACGGCAAAATAATTGGTGCCACCACTGGTTGGATGCAGAGCTTGATGGTATGTTTGCCGTTCTTTACTGTCAGCAGAGTGTCGAGGAACATAATTTGGCTGGTGCTGGAGCTAGGCGTTCTCTGAATAACATTCTTATGGGCATAATTAGTTTCTTATTTTCTTTTTCATGGATTAGGAATACGAAGGATGAATGCGTGTACAATGCCAATCAGCCGATGCTTAAAATCTAAGACATGGTGACGGGGGTGATAGGCGAGATCCTTCGCAAGGTGCATTATAACCCGACTCATGTCAGGCAATTGTAGCACGGGAAGAACTCCCTCTCCCCTCACACAAACTCCTCCAAATGTCGTTACACTCCTTGCATCAACCTCGGTTCTTCCCTTGAGCAGTGAAGTTGCTTATGTGTCTCACCAGGCTTTGGCCAGCCTCACAACTGTACATAGTTCTGAAAGGTGCACGGGGTGCAGCACGCTACTGAGCAAAGTATTCGTTGCGTTGCAAAGCGGTCAGTTCGGATGAACACTTGGGCACTACTGTCATGAAATATCACAGGGGCATCAAAGAAGAAAATAAACATTATACATGGTCTTGCAAGATTATTCGTTGCACAAAAACACATTTTCAAAATTATTGCGCATGTTGTAGAGTCTTGCAAATAGCAAACACTGGTGTGCTGCAAATTATAGAGCTCTTTAACTACCTTAAATATTCTTAAATGCACAGGAACCATTTTGAGGAATTATGGAACAAGCTGCACCAATGCAGATAACAAATGCTGCATGCACGCAGCCAGCTGCAAAGCTGCAAAGGCTTATTGCCATGTGGCATAACATCGAGCTGTCTGTGGCTGGATTCCCAGGACGCAGAGCTGTAGGCGGCCGGGCTCGCAGAACACCGGGCTGTCGGCGGCTGGAATCTCAGACCACCGAGCTGTTGGCGGCCGGACTCGCAGAACGCGGAGCTGTGGGCGACCGGACTCGCAGAACACCGAGCTGTCGGCGGATGGACTCTCAGAACACGGAGCTGTCGGTGGCCGAACTCGCAGAATACAGAGCTGTCGGCGGCCGGACTCGCAGAGCACGGAGCTGTCAGCGGCTGGAATCTCAGAACACCGAGCTGTCGGCGGCCGGACTCGCAAAACGCGGAGCTGTGGGCGGCCGGACTCGCAGAATACAGAGCTGTCGGCGGCCGGACTCGCAGAGCACGGAACTTGGGCGGTCGGACTCTCAGAACACCGAGCTGTGGGAGACCGAACTCTCAGAACACGGAGCTTTGGGCGGCTGGATTCGCAGAATACAGGGCTGTGGGCGGCCGGACTCTGGCGGGATGCACACCCTTAAGGGTGTTAAAATTGACGGCGCGATAGCCACCCTCCTCTTTCACGTGCAACGCTATTCGACCGGGCATCAGCAGACTGTAATGCCGCCACCAGCCGCCAGGGGCAGGCCGGTCGCCGGCCTGACGCTTCAGCGGCGTCACACAAAACACAGCGAAGCGTCCGGCGGCGCGGAGTGCTCCGAGGAGCGGCTGGGGGTGACGCCATGCACTACAACATATTCCAGGTGAGGTCCTGCGGTCAGCTGAACTCGGACGTTGCCTGGCAACACGAGCAATGCCATCGCACGATCCTTGTTTTTTAAGTTTTGAATGATTAAATTGTGGTACTATGTGCACTTATAGCAGGGTAACGGACTTCTGCACGTCTTGAAAAAACACAGAACACGCATGTATTGATACATTTCTAACATATTCTGCGATGCGGAATTAAGAGCGCGCTATGTATACATAGGAGCATCAAATCAACGTACAGAATCACCTCTCAGCCTGTCTACTTTCCTCTTTTGCCCCGTGCTGAACTCCAGACATACGTCACTATTTTGTCACGAGATAGCTAAATAGTCCCAGGGTTATCTGTTGTTTAAAGTGCGGCATACTTCTTTCTTTGATATGAACAGCTCAAAAAAGTTGTGGAGAGTGTTTGTTTGAACACAATTTCAGGGTCCCCTGTGCTTTCAGTTAGGCCAGAGCACAAAATATTTTGGTTGTTCTGCGCGCGTGCTGGTTTGGCGCCCCTCCAACAGGTGTATAGTCATACATCGTAACAGAGATGTCGTAGTCATTTCAACATTGGTGAAGCTACGGAGCCGGCACTATCGGTACGAACATCTCCGTCTGTCTCCGTATTGGCGTGCTTTAGTTGGTTTTGATCTCTTGTCAGGTTGTCTTCCACAAAGGGAATGCAAGTTGTTCTACTCTTGTAATGGAGGGGTGTAAGTCTTATTTCGATGTCTCCGATGGTGGTTTGACTGCTCGTGCTAATGATGGTGTATGGAACATTTTTATGTGCGCGCACTCAAACGCACACACGCACACGTACGCACACGTGCGCACACGTGCGCAAAACCGCCCATAAAGCTGTCATCGTACCGTTCCAAGCGCAAGGCGGGTGCAGTGAGGAGATCTCCTCAGCTTCCTGGTATGGATATCTTTTACAATGAAGTACGTCAAACATCAAACTGGCTAAACGGATTCCCTGATGTGCCCTGTGCTTCATGAGCTGCATCGGCGTCGACCTGAAACTTTCGCAGTGAATGTAAATACATGCATGACCATCTCCGAAGCAGACGCCTTGAACGAACCAATCGGATGTCTATAAGTGCTGCTCATGGGTTGTATTTTTACGACTTACTCCCGCGCAGTTCTCCAGTTCCGCCACTACCCGCAAAGGCAACCTCTTGTTCATGACCCGAAACCGAGTCACACCTAATTTGTTCAAATGCAAATTTGTTCTACTTAACACCTGTCCATCCATCATGTTTCAAGATGCCCTGGCGGTCGAATATGGCTGGTGTGGTTACAGTTACATTTTTAAATTGTCTTTGAGCATTTCCGTCCGTCCCAGTCTACTTGTGCTGGTCAGAATTTAGATTCGCTCTTTGTCCTTGCCTTGTGGAGATTTTCCGTTACAGTGGAGTCAAATCCATGAAGAGCTCTAATGTCTGCACATTTGGGCCTTGTCGTAAATGAACATCGCCGTGGAAACTTACTGTAAGTACCATCCACTCCATACGGTATAAGGTCTTCACTATAATGTATAAGGTATTCACTCCACTCCATAAGGCCCCTTCAATTTCTCAAAAGAGCAAACGCTTCGACCACATTAGCATGGACGTCGTATGTGCAAGGTGCAAAAATACTGTTCGCCATATGCCCGTCCAAAAGACGGGTGGTATTAAGGCATGCACTGTCAAGAGTGTCTTCTCATGCCTTCTTCATACAGATGGATTCCTTTTTGAACCTATTGGCCGCGACGTTTTTTATTGCAAGTGTTTATGCTCGTCAAGACGGCACCAATGTCCGACTTCAGGAATCCTTGCCACCGTCTGCCCGGGACTTCTTAACTGTAGCTGTACTGAGAAACATCCGTTTCGAGACTTTGAGGTCATCCACTCTGAGAATACAAATCATCCACTCTGAGACCGGGACCGTCTATCGTGGTCTCTGGGACCGTCTGTTCTGGGACTCGGACACCGTCTGCCGTGAGCCTATGTAACCGTCCACAATGGGACGGCCCATGTCCAGGAACCCCAGGATCGGCTGAGCAGGGACCATGGGCAAATACACTCCGTAGCTTTTCGAACGTTCGTCTGAGAACTCTGGAGCCATCTGGTCAGGGATCTCGGGACCTGGGTCTGTCTGTCCCGGGGATTTTGGACTGCCTGCCCTGCTAGTTGGGGTTTTGGGGTAACCTGGCCCAGAACTTTGGGGTAGTCTGGGCCAGAACTTTGGGGTAGTCTGGCCCAGAACTTTGGGAAAGTGTGTCCCGAGGCTCAGGACCCATCCGCCCCGGGACTTTCCGACTGTCTGCTCTGAGAGTCTGGGTCTGTCTGTCTCTGGAATTGTGATTGACTGTCCTGAAACCCTGGGACCGCCTGCCGTGGACTCGCAACCGTCTTTCCTGGGACACTGGAACCTTCTGTCCAGGAACCCTGTGACCATCGCTCTAGAACTCTTGGTTCGTCTGTCCCGGTAGTTCAGGACTGCCTACGCCGGGACCCTGAGCCGCCCGCGCTGGGAATCTGGGACTCTGGAACCATCTGTCTGAGGACTTTTTACCGAATGTCCTGGGTTTCCAAACCCGTCCGCTCTGCGGCTTTGAAGTAATGTACGCTAGGACCTTTCGACCGTGGCGAGTTCGCACTGGGCCCTGGGACCGCCTGCTTTGGGACTCCGTGACTGAGCCGTGACAGAGCATTATGGGACTTTTGGACCACTCACTCGTATACTTTGGGATTCGGGACTACCTGTCCTGATGGGGCTGGAATCGCCTGCTTTGAAACTCTGAAACTGACCGTTCTGAGACTCTGAAACTGTCCGCTCTGAAACTCTGGAACTGTTTGCCCTGAGACTCTGGAACGGTCCGCTCTGAAACTCTGGAACTGTCTGCCCTGAGACTCTGGAACTGTCTGCCCCGAGACTCTGGAACTATCCGCTCTGGGACTCTGGAGCTGTCTGCCCTGAGACTCTGTGACTGTCTGCCCTGAGACTCTGTGACTGTCTGCCCTGAGACTCTGGGACTGTCTGCCCCGAGACTATGTGAGTGTCCGCTCTAAATATTCAGAATCATCCATTCGGACCTTTGGAGCCATCCGCCCTGTAACCATCTGCGACTGTCTCCGGGACTCTTCCTCCGTCCGTCTCGATGTTTGGAGCCACCAGCTCTGCGACCCACGCTGCCGCTGCGCATGCGGTAAGAACTTAGTGCTATTCACGACATTAAGGCCAATCACTGACAAACGCATTTTGCTCCCCGCCAGCCCTCACCATCGGCGAGTTGTTTGCTTGATCCATTGGCACACATCGGCCAGCGTTATCAGGGTCAAGTTTATCATTACTCCCGTCGAGGGTCGCCACGTAGTCCCCTTCACGCGCTAACGCCCGCGACCACACTCAGAGCCCCTGCCCCGATCGCCACCCCAGGCCAGGGCCGGGCCGCGGCCTGTGGCGTCATCGGTGGCCTCAGGGTGGTACAACGGGGTTCCACACCGTAACACCGAAGCCGTCAGAGCACACCAGCCAGGGCATGGCTTGTCGAAGGGGTCAATGCTGGGTGTGGCGCGATGCGTTCACTGGAAAACTCAACCAAAATCTCTCGAGATAAGCCACTTAGTCTGAAGCACCGTACACAACACAGCCCGGCCCACGTCGCAGCGCTTCCCCCAATTCTCCACGTTAAAGGTAATGAACGGGACACACACCATTACGATTTACTATTCAGTCATGACTAAAACTAGAAAGAGAATCGAATTTTTGTGAGCACCTGAAGTTTCTAAAATTGACAGATCCAAGTCCGAGTATTGTTCACTTAGGCACGAGTCCTAGCATAGTCTTGATTTCATTGTTTTTGTTCAAGCTGGTTAGTCCGGGTCTGACTCATCTGCACAGTGAATCGGTTTACTTTGTTCCAGGTAACACAAATTCTTGAGCGCATTATCGGGACTGAGTCCGGCCTGACTCACGCTCACACCTGCCGGGGTGTTACCCAGCGGTTCCTGCACGCCCGGGGCCCCCGCCCTCCGAGCTGTGTCACGCCAGAGGAGCCAATCGTGGCCGCCTCGCGGTTCCGCCGTGCCGGGGCGGCCGGCGGGGGTGGTGTCCCAGTGATTCAGTGCATGACAAGCGCGCCCCGGCATGTCCCCGCCGCTGGAGGCTCCCGCACGCTCTGGCCGCAGCCGCCAACAGGTCCGTCGCATCCCACTGCCGCTCGGTGACATAACGGTCTGGCTGCTCTCAAACAAGCCCGCTTTCACCGGCGGCCGGCGCGTGGTCGGCTCCACACGCACAGCGCGTGGTGCGGCGGCGCGGCATCAAGGTCGCCGTCAGCCCCGCGGTCCGCGCTGGGTGGCACGAGCCCGCCGGACCGGGGCGGGCCGTGAACACGCCGACCCGACGTCAGCACCGCCGTCCCCAGCCTCGCCTCTTCCGGGAGAGCTGGCGGCGTGCGGCGCCGCTTTTTGTCGGCTTTTCTCGCGCGCTGTCGAAGCTCGCGCCGCTGTTTGTCAGCTTCTCTCGCGCGCTGTCGAAGCTCGCGCCGCTGTTTGTCAGCTTCTCCCGCGCGCTGTCGAAGCTCGCGCCGCTGTTTGTCGCGCGCTGCGTGACCTGTGGTGTACTGCGTGGCGTCATTGCGGGCTGGGTGCCTGCGCAAAAACTCGCCCCGCATGTCTGGGCTCCAGCTCGACGGCCTTCTTCAGCTCTGTTGTTGACATCGGAACGAAAGGCACAGAGTTAGCTGCCAGCGAAAGTGTGACCTCTCAAACCCTAATCTTACCAATTGCACTTCACGGTTGGGATTAAATAGCACGCGAGACATGTGAGGGAGGTTGGTTTTCAGGTACTTTTTTGGTGGCTGCAATGCGCCGAACCGTACACCAGGCTGTCCGTGGTGTCGTAAGATTCGCCTGGCGGCTGGACGGCGCTCGCTGTGCTCACCCTGCGATGCTGTTCGGTTGTAGATGATCGAAGCCCAGGGTCTGAGGAAGCACAAGGGCGGCTGCCACTGCGGCCAGGTCAGGTTCGAGGTCACGGCCCCCGTCCAGGTCACCGTCATCGAATGCAGGTTAGTGCAGCCCAGAAGGACCAGATAGCAGCACCAGGTAACAGGACAAGTCAGTACCAGGTGACAGGACCGGTCAGAACCAGGTAACAGTAGTGTTCAGAACCAGGGAACAGGACGCTCCAGTGGGTATCATAACATTGGTCAGAGTTATAATGGGTTCGTTTACTGACATTCTTGTGGTGGTTCGGCGGGTGGTCACGGACACCATCCATTGTGGAAGGGGGTATGGTAAACAGAGAACCCACCGACCTTAGACAGCCCAAGCATGTCGCACCGGAACTAGTGCAGTAACATGCGTGAATGTTTTGCGGCATGTTTTGATATCCTATTGTGGAGTGACTCGTGGAAGCCACAGATAGCACAGCGGAAAAGGCAAGGATGTTCCGGAATAGGAGGAAAGAGACAGCGAGGGTGTGCGTGCAAAAGGGTAGCCCTGAGACTCCAAAACTATTTCAAGCATTTCAAGGCAAGGGCCTAAGTTGGTATGAAACTTGAAACGCACAAAGAGTAGAATAAGCAGGATCGAAACACGTAGTTTGTGTTAGGACGATCAAACTATTGCCATTGATATGTACGCCAGAGGGTTTTTTTGTAACATCGCCAATCTTTTCGTTACTGCACGCTTGCGGTGCTTCCGTTGAGTTGAAAACCAGCCTGTCTCTGTGGTCTAGCGGTACAGACACGAGCTCTGTTATTCGGTTGCGGCCCGCCCCGCCCGTGCTACCGGCTGTGTACCTGGGGACGGGGCCGGTCGGCCTGAGAGCTCGCGTCGCCACCCACCGCAGTCTGTGATGACGTCACAGTGTTGTGACGGCACCCGACAGGTCGTGCCCATCCATTTCACGCTCGCCGAGCTGTCCAGTTACCTCGAGGTCAATCGGTGTCTGCGGAGGCCAGCCCGCAGAGGCGCCAGACCTATTTGACGTGATTCGAGAGCCAGTGGCCGACTGCGGTAAGCGAGAAGTTCACGGGCTTCAGTTTGTCGGCTTTGCTAACGGCAGACAGAAACCGGCGAGATGTTCACGGGACTACCAAGATATGCTTAACATTGGGAACGTTTCACTGCCTGCTTTATTCGCTATCAACCAATTATCAACAATTACCTCACACAGCTGTACCGCAACTGGCGGGTGACGGTCCGATCCTCCGGCAGCTGCGGGATTAGCTGGGCCGGTGACGGTCCAATCCCCTTGCAAGCTGCAGGATTAGCTGGCGGGCGACGGTCTGATCCTCCGGCAGCTGCAGGATTAGCTGGCGGGGTGGACGGTCCGATCCTCCGGCAGCTGCAGGTTTGGCTGGCGGGTGACGGACGGCTGCAGGATTAGCTGGCGGGTGACGGTCCAATCCTCCGGCAGCTGCAGGATTAGCTGGCGGGTGACGGTCCGATCCTCCGGGCAGCTGCAGGATTAGATGACGGGTGACGGTCCGATCCTCCCCGACAGCTGCAGGATTAGATGGGCGGGTGTGACGGTCCGATCCTTCGGCAGCTGCAGGATTAGCTGGCGAGTGACGGTCCGATCCTCCGGCAGCTGCAGGTTTAGCTGGCGGGTGACGGTCCAATCCTCCGGCAGCTGCAGGATTAGCTGGCGAGTAACGGTCCGGCCTCCCCACAGCTGCAGCGCCTGCCAGAAGCGCCAGAGCCGCTACTTCCTGGTGGAGGCTGACCGTTTCATACTGCTGAACGGCCACGGCCAGCTCAGCACGTTCGGCTCGAGCCACCAGAAGCACTCGTTCTGCAGCAAGTGCGGCGTGCAGAGCTTCTTCATTCCCAGCTCGGGCGACCACACCGCCTCTGTTGGGTGAGTGGCCGGGACGGCGGCTGAGTGCGCCGGTTCGCGTGGTGCCGAGCTGGCGCGGGCTGGCGCTGAGGGGGGTTCCGACCCCGCCGACCCAGTGACGCCGTCAGGCCGGAGCGGCCCGGAGACGGCGGCGCGGGCGCTGCGAACCGACGTCATCCGGTCCGGGATCTGACTCAGAGCCCACACCGGCCCTGAGTCAGAGCCCGTTTGCGGAGCAACCAGTTTGTCTCACCAACTTCTCACCCCGTCGACCACCGAGGTCACGACTTGCGCGAGGCCAGCGTACACTGACCTTGACCCCATGTACTGCACTCACGACACCTCAGCGCCACCTCCAACACGGGAGGACCTCAAACCGCGGCACCGCGCCTCCCAGACAGCCGGTCGGCATGCAGAGCCACAGGACGCCGGCATGCGTCGTTTGACGGCAGAGCTTCTGACCGAGCAGCGCTTCTCCCAATCCCCGATACCGCGGCGACCTTCTGACCGAGCCGCGCTCTCCCAATCCCCGATGCCGCGTCGATTTGTACCTCAACAATCACTTGATCATCTTAAATGCTTGCCGGTTTACAGTCACACCCGAAATATCCTGAAATACAATTTTCTGAGCTCGTGCATGCCGTTGGACCTTTGTACTGGCACGTGAGGAATCCAAGGCGCTGAACCAATTACACCGTGGAGCTGGTTTCGTGCGTTACGTGTTGGATGCGCCACAATAAACTGCAATTTTCCGCTCTCGCGATTCACACAAGTTTTCGTGGAGCTGGCACCCCGGGGTGTGACGTTTAACATCTGGCGTGACTATAGTAATAATCGATCATTGTCCTGCCCTTTCCAGGCATTATGCCACATTGTCTGGATCCAGGCACCATGAAGAAGGTCAAAACAGAGAAGCGGAATCCGAAGAAACTGCAATGGGAATCCACGAGTTTCTTCCCTGAAAGATGCTCAGATTCGCACCTGTGCAGCTGTCCAAGTGCTTGGCTTGGCTTTCGCAATCTGGTGTATGATGATGCATGCGACTGCATTTAATTGAACGCTGTTGACGACCCTTTCAAGGGAGGAGGATCTTATCACATTTTTGTTTATCCATATCCTCACGAAGGCTTCGATAGTGATCGCACGTATAACCAGGCTGTACATATTTGGTATGCAACGGAAAGTTCTGTTTGTTATTGGTGTTTCTCACCGCATATCATATACATGCAATGTTGTATGAAAATACACTGTGTTTGTCGATTGTGCTCGCTGTGCGGCACCAGGGGGCGGGGACGCACGGGGCGGCTCCTCACAGCGTTCGCCGGGTCCCAGCGGTACTATCCGTGGAACAGCCGGCGGCGTGTGATTGTTGACCCCTCATCCGGGTGAGTGGCGCAAGTTGAGTGTCTGACTAAGCGTGACCGGGCACGGTGAGAGTGACCACGTGCAACGTTGCAAGCTGGACTGCGGGACCGGCGCGCGGCGGCACTGACCGGGCCCGACCGGCCGGTCCGTCGCCGCATCGTGGCATTTGGAGTGATGCTCGAGGCGGAGTGAACGGTACGAACCGTGACTCCCGAGTGTACACTGCGCCGCCATCGTGATGCGCCCCGGTCTGCTGCGCTGCCTTACAGCGCAGGTCGTCAGGTGCCAGTGGAAGCTCACCGCGACGCCGGCCCCCGGCCCCGGCGTACGTGAAGACTCCCAGGGCGGCGGGCGATGCGGGCCCGTCAGCCGCCAGTCAGCTGATCGGACCGGTCACAGCTAGCTACCGGGCCGACCTGACCCGCCGCCGTGGACTGCCGTCCGAACACGCGCAGTCGAAGGCCGCCGCCTCGACCGCAGCGGGCAGGGGCGTGCGACCATACCAATCAAATGCCATGTCAATAGCAGGGCCAGGTATGTTGTCGGCTCAATACCATGTAACGGTGCCAGCTGATAGCACCTCCAAAGTACTATTAAATGTTCACGGCCGCGCACGAATTAAAGTATTTTAGATAGCTGCCATATCTTTGCAAATTCACGGTCCGGCGGCCCGCTGTCTTTAAATGATGTGCCGTTAGGCAACTATTCCAATGAAATGGTTGCGGTCGGCCGCCAAAGACGACTCGTTGCAGCGTGATAACCCTCCGTATGTGCGCGTGCGCAGTGTCACCCTCCGCACGGAATATAAGTGTTTTATAAAACGATGCCGCATGTCGGAATTCACTCCTAATCTTCGCGTGACCGACAATGATATCATACCAAAGATATCCCACAAATGAGATTATACCAAAGGATAGGCGTCTTAGGCGGAACACGGTGTAACGGTGCCAGCTAATGACCCTCTCGGTGCTATAAAATACACTCGGTCACACACTCAGCAAGAATATAGCGTTTTTAAGTGACGGCGCATTTTTGAAACGTTGCTTTGGACGCCTGTCAACATTTAGTGAAGCTCAGTAAGAGGGTAATTGCAATAAAATAGGCGCCGTCGGCTGACAACGATGTTACGCTCTCGCTGAGGTAGCGAATACACACGGCCATACCCTCTCCGCACGACCATTTTATGAAAAGGCAATATTAGGTTAAATAAAAAAGGTTAAGTTAGGTATTTGAATGATAATGAATTAAGTATTTTGAATGACAATGAATACAGTAGGTTTCTTCTTCGGCCGAAACCATGCTATATTGCGAGCTGGTAGTCCTCCCGCAATGCTACCACATACACGCACAGTCGCAACCTCCTCGCACGATAAGAAGCATATCTGAATGACAGCTGTGTCTTTAGAAATACACGCTCCAGTGTGGCCTAAAAAATGGACTGATTTGCTGTCAGGGGGTCACGCTAATAAAATGCCTGTCGTTGACAGACAATGATATTGTGGTGCCGGGTGATAGCCCTGCTCCGGTGCCATCAAATGGTCACTATAAGCCCTCCGCGCGCGACTAAGGTGGCCCCGACCAACGATTTTGCATTTCCCCAGAGGGCGGCCGTGCCGCCGCGGGAGTAGAATCCAGCCGACCATCCGGAGGCCGACCGGCCAGAGGTCAGCTGATGACACTGTACCGCCCCAGGGCGGAACGTGGCATGGGGAGGGGCACCCCACGGCGGGTCCTGCAGTAGTGCTGTCCAAGGCCCGAGCGAGCCTCACTGAGACATCATAAGGAGGTGGGGGAGGGGCGGGGGAGGGAAATCCAGCCGACCAGCTGGAGGCCAGGACGGCCAGAGGTCAGGTGGCGCCATCACATCGCCCCAGGCCCGGACGCGAACGCGGCCGGGCGGTATGACTCAGGCGAACCGACCCCGGCAGCCGGCCGAGACGGCCGGTCGGTCATGAGAGTTCAGAGATGAATGCTGTGGAGGATATTTTCTGGTTAAAAGCTCAGTTAAGCCGACTTCCCCACTTGGCATCAAAAGCATGAACAACAGGTCACGCGTTGATTTTTCGCATGCCCGAGGGAACGTGGCCAAATACTGCTCACCAGCATCAAAGGAAGAATACGCAAGCACTTTTACGATCGAAGGCAGGCTTTTATTTTGTAGGTGTCCTGAAATGGGACAACACAGATCTTGCGGCCTGTGCCAAGCGCTTTGGGATTCTCTAAAAACACCGTGACACTCCACCGGTTCCCATCAGGTTCTAGGGGGCAACATTTCTTGATCAATTGTTGAAGAAAATTTTCGACCGGCACGACTATCAAACTGGACACCGTAGCATTGGAAATCGATTCCCAAACCATCCCCCAGTACTGAGGGATAAGCTGTCAAAAGGTGTACCGAAAAAGTGGAGTTTAAATCTGACCAGTGTGGTGTTTTGCAGATGATAGCTCTATACGCGCTACCTGATGCACGCAATCCCAATGGTTGCTTTCGAATATGAGCGTCTTTTCCGGGCCGCCGCATTCGTTCACCTCTCAGAGCTGAAGCCCCTTTGGATTGCACTTTTGCTAGTAATTTAACATAGGTTTGCCAATAGATATACTACGGTGTTGCCCATCTAGTGCTATTATAAATATATGCAGCCTTGCACCAACTGCATAAACCAGTCCCAAAATGTCAGTATCCATATAGCGGCCGGATCCAGGCCATCCACAAATGGACTTCTGGACCCTGCCATGCTACACAAACACTTTGTTTCCAACCGTTAGTTTCGGTATAGATGTGCAGGGGTGTCAATTCTTGTAAATTATTGGGGGTGGGGGGGTGGGCTGAACCGAACCCGACAACCTACCCCTCTGTTTTTCTCACTGAATTTAGCCTACTTGTTTTTATTAAACGCAGCATATGTTTTGACCTTGTTAATTTATAAAAGTCTTTAAGCAGTATAGAAGCCATGCAGGTAGGATCCAGGGAGCAGGCACTGGGAGCATGCGCTTTTCTGATCGGCACGTGAAGGCACGGCACGTGAGGCCACCTTGGGCGCCAATGCGCTCTTCCATGACGGTATGGGAGGCGGCACGCATTTTGGTTGTGGGGACAGGGACGGGGTTAGCCATGAAGGACTTGGCCATCCGATATTCCATAGCTTTTCCTTCAACCTCACAAACCACTGCGCGTCTTATGGCGTAGCGTATGTGAAGTTTATTGCATCGTTTATTTGATCAGCGGTTGCGATTTTTATCTTGTGGTGAGAGCAAACGTGACTTTCTGTTGTGAGAAGGTACGAGACGCCACTACGCAGCAAGATCGAAGAAGGTAGTCTTTGAGTCGTTATTATCTTTTTTCCAACGTTTTTGCAGTATTCAGCAAAACATTGGGGGGGGGGGGGCAGCCAACATTAGGGGCCCAACTCAACATCGGGGACGGGTCCTCACAAAAATACGAATCGACGCCCGTGGAGATGCGTGACGCTCCGAAACCTTTCATAAAATGATTTTAGATTCAATTTTCTTGCCATTTGTTATTTTCTTAAAAAACGATTTGGGTGTTCATACATTTCTGGCGTTATAGACGTAATAATTTGTGACATGTGGTACGCGCAGCTATCGCCGCAGTGTGGACTTTTGCCGTGTTTCCATCCGTCGAAACAACCGTTTATTACC